GGCCTAATGTCAATATTGTTGTGTTTCATGGAATAGAGAGGCCTGAAGAAATGGAAAGAGATGGGGAATAGCTGGTTGGTAGAGCAGTGAGAACACACACAACATTTATTAAGTTCAGTGTGTGTGTGGCATCCCCAAACAATCACAATAGTAACATCAAAGACTATTGATTACAGAAAATTGTAACAAATAATTTAAAAGTGTGGAATGTTGCATTATGAAAATGTGACACAGAGAAATGATGTGAGTACATGCTGTTAGAAAAATGGCACCCATAGGCTTATTTATTACAGGGTTGCTCCAAACCTTCAATTTGTAAAAAAAAAAAAAAAAAACAACAAACAAACAAAAAAATACCCCCAATTATCTGCAAAGGGGTAATAAAGTGAAGCACAATAGAAAAAGGTAAGCCTGTATATATTAACCCATACATAAACACCTATCTGTAATTCTGCATCTCTCTCTATATATATTTATATATACACACCCACATACACAGTAGAACACCTCCCTACACTGACCCTCTCAAGTTGACCTAATTTCATAGACCTGACAGGCACCACATGTACTATCAGCATAGTAGGCCTAGTTCTTTTTTGTTGACCACCTTTGTATGCTGACCTGTCTGTTACAGTCCCTTGGATGGCCAACGTACAGAGGTTCTACTGTATGAATGTACATGCACATATGAATACCAATGTATCTATGTCTCTTGAAATAGTTACGAATGAATAGAGACATCTTCTAAAGTTACAGTGAGTTAGCAGTGAATATGAGAGAAGTCTCATTGTTTTCAGAAGCCCATCTATAGCTGAGAGTGTACTGATGAGTAGGGGTGATTAATAATGTAGTTGGGAGAAATGTGCTGCTTCTCTTTCAGAAATGGACTGTACTTCTATGAAGAAATTAGAACCTTGCAATGTTATAGACCATCTGTAAAAACTGAGAGAAGCATAAGAATTAGAAGCTCCAGAAAGGGTGGAAGACGAGGGTATGCAAGGGGAGCCAAAAACACAGAGTTTATTTGAAGTTTATATAAGAAGTTAGGTACCTAGATTTTTACCCATACCCTGCCCAGTCAGGTGACTACCTTCCCTAACACCCACAGGGAAAAGAAGTAAAACTAAGCAAGAGACAATCCAGATACAGGGAAACCACACACAGAGCAAGACAGGGGTCAGGTGCCGGACTGAAAACAGGGAGCTGGAGTCAAAGTCTGACACTGAACAGGGAAACCCCAGCTCTCTTTTCCTGTCTAGCTCTAAAATTCTTGCAGCCAGGATATATATTCTCTGGTCAGGAGACTGGAGGATTTTTTTAAAGAACATGAATAGCACAAGAAAAAAAAGTTATGAATAACTGACACAGAGAAATGATGTGAGTACATGCTGTTAGAAAAATGGCACTGGCTCGGCGCCTATGGCTCAACCGGCTAAGGCGCCAGCCACGTACACCTAAGGTGGC